TGTAGTTAGATGTTTTAAGCTATCTCTGGGAAGATCATGGAATATTTTGTGCAGAGAAACTGATAATGCATAAACTCAATACAAAGTCCTCATAAGGAGAATTCTGAGCAGGTACCAGGCAATATAAAATACTTCAAATCTATTCATCATCAAGACTTTCCTACAAAGATAAATGACAGGGATGCATGGGATGGATACTCTGTGCAATGATGACTGTAATTTTATCACTTAAAATTCTGGCTGCTTAAATGCAAATGTCAGGAAATTGCCACTGGTTGAGGAATAAAGGCTATGTCCCTGATCTTAATAATCTGAGTGGCCACTGAATTTTGCTTTTGCCCTACACAGATCTGAAACAGTGCAACAAAACAACTCATAGGCCTATTTTATCACTGGCCAGTGAAGAAAGGGTCAGAGAAAACCCATGCACCTTTTACATGCAGGTTTCAATCAAAATTTAGGGATTGGTTTACCTCTTCTGTTTAGTTACACAAATATATGCTGATATTAGCTCTGTGCCTGACTCTGTGTATCGACTGTTACCTGACGGAGCAGAGATGACTAAAACATGGACCCTGACCCAGACGATCATACCATCTGGTAGAGCAAGTTGGAAAAAAAAAAAAAAACTGTTTTAATATAAAATGCTGAGTTGTAAATCAAGGATGTGTTCTAGGTGCTATGGAAACACAAAGGAACAGTGAGATTGGGGGCAGGGTTGTGAGGGAGGAGTGCCAGGGATGGTTTTCAGGAGTAGAATACATATCTGAACTAAGAATCTTAAATATGAATAAGCCAGATAAAGCTGAGGTGAGTGAAAATAATACAGGGAGAGGGAAGAGCATTAGTGTAACTTTGGAGGCATTAAACAGAATATTGTCCATCAAGTCCAATCAGTTGGACCTCTATTTCTTTCTTTTTGCTTTTTTGAGACAGGGTCTCACTATGTAGTTGAGACTGACCTGGAACTTACTATGTAGCCCAGGCTGGTCTCGAACTCACAGTGATCCTTCTGTTTCTGCCTCCCGAGTGCTGGGATTACAGGCATGCGCCACCACGCCTGGCTCTTGAACCTCTGCTTTCCATTATATATCCAATGTACTCCTATATCCACAGGTTTTCAGATCTTCAATCCTTTCCACCTCAGTCATGCTCTTTTCAAATCATGGTTCACCCTTACATACATTTCTTTGCCAATCCTATTACTAATCTTATAGATCTTTTCTTTTTCCTCTTCCCCTTCCTTTTTTTTTTTTTTTTTTTTTTTTTTTTTTGGTGGCGGTCGTGGTGGTGGTGTGTTAGGGATCAAACCTACAGTCTCACACATTCTAAGTATGTGCTCTACTACCGAGTTATACCCCCAGACAGATTTTCTGTTATGCTTACTACCTCACCACTTTAATTGGGCATCTTTCTTAAAATGTCCCCATTTCCCCAAAGTCTTCACTGTTGTCCAAGACTTTCACTTGCCAAGATAAGGAAATCTCATTCCTAGTGTTATCTCCAGACCATCACTCTATCACCTAAATATAGCATCCCTCTTCTGAAGCCCACATCATCCCCATGTACCATAAATACACCACATGCTTCTCCCATCCAAAAAAGAGCAACCTGCAGGGTGCTCATCAGTCTCCTAGCAATGACTCAAGTTTCTCTTTAGCATTAAGTTGCCTACAGTTTTCTAGTACCTCTATAACATTTATCAGAGACAATATATTATATATCTAATTTTCAGACATGCTGGTCAACAAAATATTTTTTAAAATTAAATTGTTTAACAATGCATTAAGAAATTATATGTCTTAAAAATCTGGGGATCTGGCTCCTGGGTTCTTTTTTTTATTTTTCAGCTTTAATTGAGTTTATTGGTACATTTTAGGGATACAGTACAGTTACATTCATTGTTGGGATCTTGTACCTCTACATGACAAGTCTTGATTCTCATTTTTTCCCCTTACCCCTGCCCTCCCTTCACCCCCTCCTCCCCTCCCCATCTACAAACACTTTATTTTCATCTTTTCATTATCTCACATTTTTTCTTTTCTCTTATTACCCTTCCCCTACCCATCCCACCTTCCCTACACCTTTAGCTCCTTTCTTCTCATTTCTAAATGACAGTAATCTTATTAGGATCTTATGTTTTATTGCAGATTATTCACACCAGGGAAACTATTCAGTATTTACACGTGTGACTTATTTATTTCACTTAGGAGTATGGGTTAGGGATTTTGCTCAGTGGCACTGTTGCCTGCCTTATAAGCACAAGGTCCTGAGTATAATCCCTGGTACCAGAAAACAAAAAACAAAAACCCAGAAGATCTAAAAATTCTGGGTCCCCATGCCCACGTGGCAAAAATTAGATGAAGTAGACTATATATATATTTTTTTTGATACCAGGGATTGAACTCGGGACCTTATGCTTGTGAGGCAGGAAGTGGCACCACTGAGCTAAATCTCCAGCCCTGAAGTAGACTATATTTATAGGTCTTGTCAGGTTATTTATTTTGACAGAGTTTTGGTAGTTTATTGTTTTTTAATAATTAGCCTATTTCACCTAAGCTGTCAAATTTAAATGCATAGAGTTGTATGTGATAGTCCTTTAATGTTTATGAGTTCTATGTGCTCCTTTTTCTTACAGTATAATCAGGAGGAAAATGGAATACTTCTTGCATCCAGGAGAGAACAAAAGACCTAAAATTCAAAAGAAGTGCACTGTTTTATATCTTGATTATCATAGTAGTTACATGTACATATTCATGTGTTAAAACTCATGAAATGGTACATTTAAAAAAAAGTTTAATTTACTGCAAGAAAATAAAAATTTCAAGAAACAGTCCCAAATGTCACAGTAAATAGCAGTTTTCACCGCCTCACATTGGGGTGTATTAGTGACTTTGTGAGTGAAATACAAATCCTAAGAAGTGGGAGAAAGCCACACTTTTTGTGTGGAAGACACTAGTCCTAATGATTAAATGTACAAAGTATGATTGTGTCAAAAGATATCATTATAATCCAAACTATCATAACTATGATCAGTATGTGGAAAGGATTTGCAATGAAAATTGAATAACAAGAAAGGTACTGTCACTGTAGTTATTTTCTCATTCCAGGAGCAAAATACCTAATACTCACAAGTTAAAGGAGGAAAGGTTTATTTTAGCTCACAGTTTGTAGAGGTTTTAGTTGAGCTGAGTGGCTTTAAGGCTGAGCAGCATGTCAGAGGAGAAACAGTTTATGGCGTGCAGGCAAGAGGCTGGAAGTAGCCAGGCCTCCTCTTTCTCCTTTTATTCCATTCAGGGTACAAGCTCATTGCTGCCACCCATACTCAGAACCATGCTAACACAATCAGTGAACTAATCCAGTTATCATACATTAATGATCCAGCCACCTCCCCAAAGCCACACCCTATGAGCCCATGAGGCTTTCAGGGGGTCATCTAGATATAAACCATGACAGGTACTAAAATTTAAACAAAGCTCAACACATGACAATGGGGCCATAATGCTGCAGTCAGCTCTGATTTCAATTTGATCATTCTTGCCGACTTGAACCATTGGTGGTACACGCATGACAGTCCCATTGGGCAGCTTGTACTGCTTCACAGGGAGACTCTGACTACATTAATACAAAGAAAGGCATTGATTTTGTAGACCAGATGTCATATTATGGTTTCTTAAGGAAAACACTAAAATGGTATAAAAAAACAT